CTGGGACTGCGCGACTCTTTTGAAAACAAAAGTAAAGTGTTTGGGCCCGCGGCGTGGGCCGTGCTCTGCCCCTGCTCTCCAGTGTGCCACATATAGGAAAACGATCCCCCGCCTTCCACATGACTCACACCACGCCAGGGAAACAGGGCTAAGCGCCAGCTTGCAGCTCCCAGCCCCCAGGTACCTGGTCCCAGGTCCCAGGTCCCAGGGCTTGGCTGGGTCATTCATTCACTGGGATCTATCACGGATGCCAGCTTTGTTCTGTTTCTCTTTCTGTTTAAGAGGGAAACATAAATTCAAATGCGACTGCGACTGCGACTGCATAGGGCATTCAGCATTCGTGGGGAGACCATTCAAACGATCGTTATAGCTGCTGTCTGCCTGTCTGTCCGTCTGTCTATTAGGGTCCTCAGCAGTCGCACAACAAAGTAGTCACGAATTAGCGCAGTTCACATGGGATTGCAGCAGGGCACCTGGGGGGGGGGGGGGGGGGACTGTAGGGTTGGGTTTTTGGGGGCAGCGACACATATGGCTAAGAATATGCAACACGCGACAGTCACAGCTGTTGACGCAAACACACAGCACAAGAGACGCATTCTGTTGCAACATATGGGAGTCTGGAGCGGCAGCAGTTCGTTGCCTAAGTCTTTTGTTTCGCTGACGCATGAGCGAATGCTCGAGAGCTCGAGAGCCCGAGAGCTCGAGAGCTGTCTGCTGCATGTCCGGACTGATTTATGCGCCTGACCGCGCACCACATCCCACCACCTACGCACTCGCACTCGCACTCGCATTTCCATTTCCATTCCATTTCCCTGCTCAAGAGGTGGAGAGTGATGTTTCTAGTTATCAGCTGATAAGTAGCTTATGTAATGGTCCACGAAAATGGGTTAAAAGTCGCTCTGACAGTTTAATTTGACACTTTTCGGGTCCCCTTTCTCACTCTCACTTATGCCTGTCTTTCTTCCACTCTCTCTGTCTCTCTCTCACCTTGTCTTTGTCTCTGTTTGAGTGCCGGACAGCAGCAGCACGGACGGACTTGGGATGACAGAGTGCTTTTTGTTTTGGTATTTTCTTTCATATTTGCTTAACAAGATCTTGTGTATTGAATTGTCATTTCTCTTGACAATTTAATTTGGATTATGCGGAGGCTACTGAACAGCGGACAACACCCGGTCCCAGGCACTGCAACAACCACAGCCCCAGCCCCAAGTCCAAGCCCAAGGTGCAAGTCAGATAAAAGAAAAGATTTAAGATGCAGGAAAGTGGAATAACGACTTGAACACACCCTTACAGATAGTTCTGAGAGCCATGAAAAGGGCAAGCCAGATAGAATGGAATGACTTGAATTGGAATACCCATACAGGATTACTTTTACGGGAATTTAACAGAAGATGCACCTGAAACATACCAAAGATAGAGCAAATAAATACCAAATAATTAATCCTCTTATGGAATGGGTAATAAAGAAATAATAATTAAATACGCCCAATTATTACCATAAAAATACTTTAAACTAAGCTTTTTTATAAAAACCTCAAAGATGGGATATTTCCTATACGATCAGAGGTATTGATGCTCTCAGAAAAAGCTTTTCTTGATATTAAAACAATGCCTTAATTATAGAAAAATGGCATAGAAGCATACATACGTGCCAAATGGTTTCTGGGCTCGGTGATGCATGTTACAAACCTCTCATGGAAAAAGGGTATCGAAAATGATTGCGACTTTAACTGTGACTTTGCGGCTGACTTTTGCTTGTGGCTTGCGGCCTGTGGCTTGTGGCTTGTGGCTGGGGCACGTTTTGGGCCCACTGGCCATTAAAACAAAAGGCTTTTGGAGACTCAAACGCAGATGCAGGCGCAGACGTAGACGCAGACGCATCGAAGAAGAGTCACCGTCACCGTCACTGGCCAGCAGGCAGCAGGCAGCCGAGAGCCGAAAGCCGAAGATTATTAATGGCCGGCCTCCGCCTGCATTTCCGTCTTGACCCAGGTTATGCAAAATGTTTGCCAAAAGGCCAAACGAAAGCGTTCGAAAAGTAGAAATGTTTGGCTAACAAATGATTGCCATTTTCCCAGCAAGCCGCAGCAGAAGCAGTCGCAGTCGCCGTCTCGGTGGCAGCAACAAGTGCGTGGCAGCATTAACTCAAATGAAAACGAAGAGGAAAATCATTAATTGAAAATTCGCATGCGCATCAGCCACGAACATTCGATTGGGGCACGTTTTCTCTGTTAAAAGCTGCTCTGTTAAAACTGGTCGAAAACTGTAAAATGTGGCAGTGTGGCATGCAGTTGCTCTGGCTGTTGCTGTAGCGGAAGCCCTGTTAAAATTATAGCAGGCATTGTCTTCTCTTCTTGTGCTGCTTTCTTTGATTTTATCGCACCATCAATGTTGCTGTTGCTGTTGCCTGTTGCCTGTTGCTGCTGCTGCCTGTTGCATAAACTTATTGATTTGCCATGCTCGCTGCTGCCGCATATAAACAAATCAACTGCTGCTGTTGCTGCTTGCCCCGAACAACAATTGCATAAATCAATTTTACACAGAAAATTTGCTGTTGTCTTGCTGTGGCCCCTGCCTGCCTGGCTGCCGGCCTGCCTGCCTGCCCACAGTGCGTATGATCAAAACATAGCTGGCACATGTAAATTTGATTAAAAGCACGTTTTACCACAAAAATCCAGCTAACAGCAACCGCAAAATGAAGTGCTAACAAGAAAGATAGGCTTTCTTCGTGGGGCCGAAGATTGATATACACTTGCGAGCGATTCGAATGGGAAAAAATATATGAGAAATAGGAATTTGAATCGATTAGGATAATGATTCGATCTTTGCTGAAGCTTTTGTATTTTGGATGCGTCTGTGGAGAGATGATGCATGCGTCCCCCCTCCCCACTGCCCCCTCAAGGGTAGACAAGTGCATTTCTGGCCTATTGCTAATTTCCCTCGTGTCTGGGCCAGCAGCAGCAGATGCCGCCTCCATTTGTGATTTGTGATAAATGAAAGTAAAAGTACAAACACTCACACTTCATAGATCATTAGCGGTGGTCGGTGGTTGGTGGCTGGTGGCTGGTGGTTGGTGGTCGGTGCGTGGCTGAGCGGCGGCTCTCTGAGCGAGCGTTCAATGAACCGTCAGGCTGGCAGGCTGGCAGGCAGGCACCCAGACACTTGGCACCGACGAATGCCATGTACAAGTCATTAAAATAGAAATGCCAGCTCCGCAAAACGAAACACACACAATCGTCAAACAACACACACAAAAAAAGAAACAAAAACCAAAATAAAAACTTGTTCTTTCACTTTCAATGTCACGCCAGGCCGCAGAAGACCTTCAACTTTGAGGGGGGGGGGCCCTCTCCCCCCCTCCTCCCTGTAATCGGTGGGGGAAGGTGTTCACTTGGTTTGGGGGCACTGCTTCTTCCGCTTCGAAATTAATTGCGGCATAAACCAAACATTTTGCGAGTCAATGTACGTAATTTGAAAATCGTGCCAAAATAGATGCCCGAGCCAGAGTCGAACTCGAAGTCGGAGTCGGAGTCAGAGCCAAAACTCAATTTGCACAACTGCAGGTGCCTCGAGAGGGAACCGAACAGAGAGACACCCCCGCAAATATGCCTCGTACGTATGTATATATCCATCTGTCTGTCTGTCTGTCTGTCCGTCCGGACTTCTGGCCGAGGCTAGTCCCAGTCCCAGTCCCAGTGCCGGCCCCGGCCCCGGCCCCGGCTTGTTGCTCTCCGCTGCAGTCATTTGTCTGCATGTCGCTTTGTTGAATTGTCTATTTGTTTGCCAAAAAGTGCCATGAAGACAACTTGTTGTTGTTGCTCTCTAGCTGTGATTATACCCTAGCAGAAGGTTGTATGATTTGCATGCCTTGAAGGTGACCTTTCGGATATATCCATATGGTTCCTTCTAGAGAGCGTACTGCCTGGCCCACTATCCACCCACTATTTGGACTTGCATCGAGGGTAAAAAGCAATCTGCAAGTGTATCCGAAGATTGGCTTTCTTTCTTTGCTGTTGTTGCTTTGCCTAAAAGCAATTTCATTTGTGGCTGCTGCTGCTGGGGCTGCTGCTGCTGGGGCTGCTGGTGCTGCTGTGGCGGCGGTGGAGTCCACAACAAATTACTATCATTGCTGTTAATAGTTCATTAAGTCACGGACGGGACGGGTAGACATGGAAGCCATATGGAATCATGGAATCATGGAATCACGGAACGTGTAGCCGTAAAGTGAACCCAAGACTCGACAAAACCGACTCCGAGCTCCGATCTGAGCCGCAGCAGCAACCTCTCAAGTGGCAGAATAATTGAGTGAACGGCAAGATAAACATTTCAATTTTGTTATTAAGTCATCAATTAGACAAACAGAAATCAGACTCGAGGGATCGTAGGGGCGCTGCCGCCAGCCTGCACTAGATTTTGGATTTTGATTTCGATTTTCGATTTTTGGGGACTTTGGGGAGAGTGGATTTATCGCTGGGAATTGGCTGGAATTAAACGGATTGACTGCAGTCTGCGAAACTGCAGTTTCGCAATCGCATCGAGGCCGATGTTTTTTATAAACTTCTTTATTTCTGGTATGGCATTTGAGTCGTTGGGCTGGAGGCGTTATAAAAATTAGATTGTTTCATTGCTGGTCGTCAAATATTACAATCTTTTTCTGTACTTCAAAATGGAGGAGAAACTTATTGTGGCAGTAACATAAAGGAAAAGTTTCATTGGCCTACCAATAAATGAGGATTGAGGATTTAGTTATTATCATTTGGATCCATTAGGTTATCTTATGACACTGTTTATAAAATGTTTATTACAATCTATTCCTAACTACTCGTATGATTTGGTTGCCAAATAAAGAGGAAACTTTAAAATAAATGGTTAGTTTTATTAATATCTTGCTTCGCTAGCAACAATTATATATGTATATATATATATGTATATATGGATATATATATAATGTATGTATAATGGCAGTATTTTCACATACTTATAAGTAGACAACAGGTAATTATTCTGAGAGTAAAGCTTGTACTTTGTAAACATCATTCCCTACATCGTTCTAAAACTGCTTAAATATAGAAAAAAAATGTGTATCTCTGCATCTTCGAAATATGTATCTGTCAATTCAACACAAACTCATTCGAGCAAATGTCGCACCTTTCGTGTGTCTGCTGTATGGACTTTGGTGCACTTGCAGCCACTGCAGTCGATGGCTTGTTGTTTTCCTTGTCTTTGGAGAACCCATAGTCCTTGCGCATGACCCACGGGGAAGTCCGCCTCGAACTCAGCAGGGAGGCGGTGTACGTATGACGCCCGGGGCTGCAGGATCGGAGGGTGTTGAGAGTGGTCGTGGATCCACGCAGGAGCTCTAGCCTCGCGAGGGCCGCCTCTAAGGCGGCATCTTCGTACTCCGCCATCACAACCTGGTCGGGCGTCAGGGACTTCATGCTGGGTGTATTGAGTTTGCTCATGGGCCGGACAACCACGTCCAGGCTGCTGTCCGATGACTTGGCCGTCGATGCACGAGACGGAGAAGGTGACGCCGGTATCGCGGCGGCAGGAGACGACTGCATCTTTCGTGTGGAAGGTGACTGCATTCTCAAGTTGGACGGTGACAGCCTGGTAGGTGTGGAAGGTGACTGCAGCCTCGGATTTAAGGGTGACTCCATTCTCATATCTGATGGTGACTCCATTTCCTGATTGGATGGTGATTGCGTCCTTGTAGAGGAAGCTAAGTACATTTTCGAGGCGGAAGGTGAATGCATTTTCGGAGCGGAAGGTGAATGCATTCTTAAAGCGGAAGGTGAATGCATTCTCGGAGCGGAAGGTGAACGCATCCGAGAAGTGGAAGGTGAACGCATTCTCAAATTGGTGGGTGAATGGATCTTCCGAGTGGAAGACGTCCGCATCTTTGGGGTGAAAGGTGACTTCCAATTGGAGGATGGCGGCATCTTGGCAGTGGAAGCGGATGTGGAGGTGCCTTCTGGCGATAAATCTTTTCTGTGGTGTGTCTGAGGTAGAGAGGTTTGCTGTTGGTTCGCTGGAAGAGTTCGATTTGAGGAACCATCTTCAGTGGGACTTGGACTGAGATCGGTCGGTATCTCCTCCAGAGGTGTGGGAATCTGGATCGTTCTTAAGTTCTTCAGTTGCTTCGCTTGTGGCTCCACCATTGGGGGTGGAATATGAGATGTATCCTCCTCCTGGCTGGGATGCCTCCTTTCCTTTGCATGGACTGGCATTCGGGAAGCCACAGCCACATCTCTGTGTGAAGGTTCGTGGGAAGGATTTCTTTTAGATCCCTGTTTTCTGGGTGTCACTGAGGAAGTTTGCTTTTCCATTCTGCTGATGCTCCTCGTTTGAGATACTGGTCGGACTGCCCGACGAATGCCATAGGGATTGGTGTACTCCGTGGGAGTTCGCAGCACGCTCTGGGTGCTCATCCCCGTGCTCATCCTCCTGCCAGGTGCTGCCGTTGGGGGCTCCTCCTCGGCCACGGCAGCGTGCTTACTCCAGAGGGATATCCTCTCCGCAGGAGCCCGCTGGATGGCCGAGCCCACGCGACTGCGACTGCGACCTCCACTCATGGCCTCAAAAACACTGATCCGATCACGCGTCGGATTGAAGTCGAAGGTCCTGGAGCTGGAGCCGGCATTGGAGATCCGTGAACTGGCCCTGGACACACTCGTCGGCCCCTCGGAGGCCACGAACTTGGCGAACTCCCGCTGACCCTTGCGGCTCATGGCCGGCGTCACGTGGCCGCTGGAGAGATCCGACTGGGAGGTGCTGGACAGCGAGTTGCCGCCGCTAAAGTGTCCGTCCGTGTGGCCGGGCTTGTCCCGGAGGCTCGTGTGGTCCTTGTACACGGAGAAATGGATCTTGCTGTGGGCAAAGCTCTCGTACGGCTTGAATTTCTTGCTTTTGGCCAGCTGATCCGCAAACCTTTCCCACTCGGTGGTGTTTGGGCGGGGTGGCTCTCGCTCCTGCTTCGCGGCCCTGCGCCGAAACCAACGTCCTCTGGTGGGTGTTTCAGTGGGGAGGGGGTTGAGTATGTGTGGGCGTGTGTTAGTTAAGGGTTTTCAATGTCATCTTCTTTTGTTCTTTTTGTGGGGGTGTTGGAAATGTGGTGTATAGGTTATTTGTGAATGTTGGTTTGCGGTCAACTCTTGCGAAACTTATCGGATCACCAGGAACGCATTGAAAACTATTATAAAGCGAGGGGGACCGGCGACCGCAACTCTACATTTATACCCGATACTTAGTCAGAATGGCTCTCCTCCATCAGACGGCGCTAACATTGCACGACACGACAAAGAGTGCGTGCGAGAGCGACAGAAAATTATTATTATTTTTGATTTTTATTTTATAATTATTGTTATAATTATTATTCTTGATTTTTATTGAATCATTATTATTATAATTATTATTCTTGATTTTTATTGAATTATTATTATTTTAGATTTTTATTAAATAATTATTATTATAATTATTATTCTAGATTTTTATTGTATAATTATTATCATAATAATTATTCTTGATGTTTATTGTATAATTATTATTCTTGATTTTTATTGAATAATTATTATCATAATAATTATTCTTGATGTTTATTGTATAATTATTATTAAAATTATTATTATTGATTTTTATTGAATAATTATTATTATAATTATTATTCTTGATTTTTATTGAATAATTATTATTCTTGATTTTTATTGAATAATTATTATCATAATTATTATTTTAGATTTTTATTGAATAATTATTATTATAATTATTATTCTTGATTTTTATTGAATAATTATTATCATAATTATTATTTTAGATTTTTATTGTTTAATTATTATTTTTGATTTGAAATAAAACTAAAAAAATTAAAAAAAAGGGGGGGAACGAAATTTTGAAGTATACGTTTAATAGTGAGATCTAACAGGAGTGTGGATACCAAATGTGGTTGCTCTAGCCTTAATAGTCTATGATTTGCTTCACTCCGATGAACATGCCACCATTTTTAATGGTGCACATCTAGCGCGAAGGAAACATCCCTAACTTGCAGTCTATCTATTTCTATTTCCTTCTATAGGCCTGAATGAGTAGAACCCTCTCTCATTCTTAGAGAGGAAGAATTGTATGACCTAAAGATATATGGAACCTACTTTGGTATTTTTAAAAAATAAAACCCTATTTTTATTTATTAGAATTTAATTTTTCTTTTAATTCTAGTGAAATTTCAAGCGTAAAAATGGATGCAATTTTCGGACAATACATTACGAGTATATCATCATTATTTTATGATGTGCACTTTTGAGGGATCCTCTGGCAAAGTTTCGCAAGAGCATTTCACATTCGGAGGTTAGCCGAATCGATAACCGATTGAAGTGTTTGGATATTGGATATATTATTTAGATAGGAATTATTTAGATATTACCACACTACTAAGTACGTACAAGACTTTGCTGTTGCGGTTCTTGTTTGTTTGATTTGCTTGGGTTCGCCATCGCAATCGCAATCGCAAGGAAACAAAGTCAGAGTATATGATATGTACATAGAAATAAAATAAGTTTATTTACAATTTACATACAAGTCAAGAGAGGAGAAAGAAGAGAGCAATATGTTGGTTAAGATATAATAATAATAATACGTATATATAGTAATGTAAGGTATAAGTACTAGAAGATCGGGATACTACGACGAGAACTACGAATCATAAGCAAAACGGTACGGTTACGGGTACTACGCGAAAACTTCAGAGTGCAGTGGCTCTACGGCTATACGGCTCTACGGGGGTAGGGGAGATACGTGGCAACGTGGTATGCTATGCGATGCGGCAGGTAGGTGCTCTCTCTAGGCTTACTTACTCCACGGACGCAGCGGGGGCAGGAGCCTCAACTGGAGCAGCAGGAGGCGCCGCTTCTTCCACAGCAGATGGAGGATGGGGATGAGAAGGCGGAAGAGGAGGAGGCTGGGCATCGGCAATCGACTCCACCTGGGCACTCAGATGAGCCAGCTCCTCCAGCGATGGCTGTGGCGTGGGTGGACTCTCCTCATCGTTGGCCAGCGCCCGCTCGATCTCTGGCTCCGGGGTGGAGGTCTTCAGGCTGTCCGCATCTCCCTGCAGCTGTGGTGTTGGGGCTCGGGATGAGCTCACCTCGGCCATGACCTCGCCAGACTCCACCGCCGCCGCATCCGCCGCCGCCGACGTCGCCTCCTCTTCCTGGGCGGGCTGGGGCTGCTCAAGGTGCAGGCCCTCCATCACCTTGTGCTTGGCCTCGTCCAGGGCGTGGGTGCCCTCCTTGAAGGCGTTACCCAGATCGTTGGTAATCCCCGCCACGGCCGCGCCCACCGTCTCCTTGGCCGTGTCCAGGCCCGTGGTCAGCGTCTGAGTGGCATCTGAAAGGGGGACACAAAGGAGGTATACAGAGAACACTTTCATTTGCCATTTCCTGGTAGAATATACATACATATGTACGAGTATATATGCACACATATATTGTTTGTGTGTACTACATATAATATTTTTAAGTCAATGTTTTGCTCTAATTCGCTGACGGGCTCGGGCTCGGCTCGCCGCGGTCACGCAACCAGGTCGTTTTTCTTCATATGCTTTTAATATACCCGCATAGACCCGCATAGAGCGGCATATAAATATGGTCGGTACCGAGTAATCGTCGAATGTAAGCCACTAAGCAGGCCGAAAGGCTCTGCGACACGCATTGCTGGCCAATTGCTCTTTATTACGTAGCTTGTTATTATAATAATGTGAAATAAGAGCGCAGGATACACTGGGGGGAAAACCCAAAGGTCCGTGAAGGAAAGAGAACTGAAATCAGGGTTTTCTGACGGATCTTTTCCTAAGTGTGGGAGTAAAGTGGGGATGCCCCCAGTTCCAGTGGTAGATTTCTGCAGCAACTTTCCTTGTACTATGAATCGATTCCTGAAGAGGATCTCTACGGATCTCTTTCCTTCGTACACGATTCGCTATTCGAAATATTTTTCGATTATCGCAGTGTAGTTTTTCGTACAGGAATCTTGGATTTTTTTGTGATTTAATGGCTAATCCATTCGTTTTGCCATTAATTAATTGGCTGGCTGGAAATAATATTGATTCACACGGTAACAGGGTAACGGTAACGGTTCAAGGACTCCATCGATCATCGCCACACACGTTGCTAGTCACCATGTCCTGTCCTCTATGTGAATATTAAGTATACGCCCCGGGCCACTCTGCAGGTGGGAGCGCTGCCTTCAAAGAACTTCAGTTGCCATTTCGATTACGGACTCGTAAATGTCATCTGCCAGCCAAAACAAACCCATGGAAAGACAGGGCCGCACCAAACACACACACACACACACACACACACACAGAGACAGAGACACACAACGCCTACCTTCCACAACGGCCTCGCCCTTCTCCCGGACATGGGTGGCGGCTTTCAGCATTTCGCTGCCGGCCGTTGCAACCATGGGAGTGCTGCTGGCACAGCCCATGACTCCTGTGGGGCTGCTGCTCTCAATGCTGCTGCTCCATGCTGATCGAAGACCGAAGACCGAATCCCGTATCGTTAGGTGATTGTACAGATACTCGATATATAGAGCGGCAATGGCAGATTTATTAAATATGAATGTGAAAAAAAAGTACGCCCGCCTTTGGTCACGAACTCCACGCAACTGAACACTGACCCAAAACATTTGCTGCTAAAGTGAAGGGTCAGTACAGCACTCACGGTATGCCTCATGTCCCTTTCCCCGGGCAAGACCTTTTGCTGGGGCACGCAACAGGACCACCAGACCACCAGACCACCGGACCGGCCATACGACAAGAGCTGTACGCCGTGGCATGGCCAAGTGTTTGCATGTGCGTTTGCACTTGGCTTCAAGTGAAGCCAAATTGTTGAGGTCATGCGCGTTGGGCGCACACTTACCTACGACGACCCGTACTTAGGGGCCAAACGCTAAAAGGGTTCTGGGTCTGCCACACGGCATGGAGAAAAGGGAAACCGACAGCATAGAAAAGTGAAAATAGAATAAAAAGTGTAGCTGTTTGGCAGCTGGTGCCAGAAGCCATACTAGTAGATACTCTAGCAGATTGTTCGGCTGGGGGGTTGGGATACGGCAAGGAAGGAATTCCCATTTAAACGATGATCGTTCTGTGATACATTCTATTAATAGATGCAGTCCCGTCTCCCCTTGAGGCAACTAAGAGACTGAATAACAGGGTATACTCGTAAAAAGGAGACTCGTACTCGCAGTCGCAGTCGTCTGTGTCTATGGGCAATAGCGTGTCCAGGCGTGGCGTGCCTTCGATTCCACACTTCCAGATATGCATACGAGTTGGGTGGGTAGGGAAGGTGGGGGAGGTGTGTGTGTGTGTGTGTGTGTTGGTCAATAAAGTCTGCACTCAGTTATTATTTATAGAACATTGTGCGATGTCCAATTGTTGCTCCAATTTCCATAAGCCCTTTTGTGTGCCCCACGTGCCGCCGAATGAATGAAGTGAAACGTCCGGCTGGGTTGACAGTTCCCACAAAATCAGATAAGAACTCCATGTATGATATTGATTCGGTACGAGTACGAATACAATCTAAATCTATTCTCTAATATGCAAATTTTCGTGCTAGTTAGGGACTGGGCCAAGACCCACACCGCACACCATCCTGCTGCAGTCCACATCACATCATCGTCTTTGGTCCCAGAGATGATGTTCGCTTCGAGTGACAGCTAACATTGGCAACGTCTCTGCTGAGGTTTTTGCCTGTGTTACCGTTCTTTTTGTCGGTCGCAAATTTACGAAAATTGATTTTTGATTTATTTTCAGAGTTTTGAGTTTCGGCTTTCGGTTTTTGTTTTTCTTCTGTGCGCGAGAGATCTGCGCGAGATCTGCAGGCGATTGGCTCTTGGCTCATGGCTCATGGCTCATGGCTGTTGGCTGTTGGCTCTTGGGGCGCTGAGTGAGTGCCTATTTATGCTCTGTGATTTATGTCAGTCAGCGCGCAGTGACAGCGCTTTTCATGAGCCAATAAAGTTGTCCATGTCGCTTTGTCATATTCATATATCATGGCAATGCTCGTACACCCGGCAACTTATGTCACATGGTCCCCGAGTCAAAAACTGGAGTACACTCCGTACACTCATAGAGAGAGAGAGCCTCTGAGCATAAATGAAGTTTAAGTGCGCGATCGAAGCCCGTCAAAGGCGACGGTGACGGTGACGGTGACAAAACACAATTTGGCCTGGGCCAACAAACAAATAAACACGAAAAGTCGCATATAAATCAGCACAGCCACAGCCACAGCACAGCACACACGCAGCTGTTCGCGGATCGCCTGGCTCTGGGATCGGGAGTCGGTTGTGGTGTGGTGTGGTATGGTGTGGTTGCGATGGTGGTGGTTCATTAGACTCTCGACCTGGCTCTCGGTGCTGCCTGCCATTTGGCCTGACGTTAATTACATAAGCTAAGCGGTGCTTAATTATGTGCTCAACAATAGACCAAAAGTGCTCAAAGAGTCGACCTGACTCTCGACTTGAGTCACATGATGTAATGCCTCTCTGTGCCTCCTCCCCTATGCCTCCCCAATGCGAAAGTTTCGCCTTTTGATGTACATGTGGAATGCCTGCCCTGATGGGATGCCAATGGAATGGGGAACTTTAGCTAGATCACACAGTTGGGAATGATAATGTCTGAGATATTCTATGACACAAATAAGTCGTGATTTCCTTGTGTTAAAGATAGAACCTTTGGGGAAAATGTTCTACTGCCATTACATTCTACATATGTATCTGCCTCTCCACTCTGTTCTTAGGGTATTGCTATCTTCGATCTTGGCCGATAGCTTGGGGAGGCTTCAGCGATATTGTTTTGGTGGTGTTCACTTTCGATTCAGGCAAGAATAATGGCAACTGCGAGACAGGTAAACAGGTAAACAGCATGCGAGAGAGACAGCTTCCTTTGGCAATTTGTATGGGGCTTTGTCTCTGGCGACAGCTTCCTCAAACATGCTTTTGAACTTGGCTGAAAGCGCGACTGAAGTACGTATGCGAGATGGCGTCGGGGCTGGAATTGGGGCTGGAGTTGTGGCAGGGGTTGGGGCACGGGTTGGGGTTGGGGTTGGCGTTAGTGTTGGGGTTGAGGGGATCTATTGCACAAGGTGCTGCTGCAGGAGTGTGTGTGTGTGTGTGTGTGTGTGGAGACCACCTTGGGCATAAATTGTAATTATGCCTGCCACTGTGGCAAACAATAAATCTCCAGCGTATTTATCGTGCAACATGACAGAAGTGGGTCGGACCCAAGAGCCCAAGCCCAAGCCCAGATTTTTTTTTTTTGCATACGACAACTGAAACCCCGAAAAACATTTACCATATTTACTTGCAACAATAACACACGGCAGTCGAAGCATTTTAAATGCAGTTATGACTAAATGCAAAAGCTATTTTGATGTTGAATGTTGAATGCTTTTGCCTTTGCTTTTGTGTGGCTGATGGTGGGGCATGGGCATGGGGCAGCAGAGCAGCAGAGCGGCAGAGCAGTGTTGGTGGTGCTGTCGCTTAAAATTGTACGCATAGCTTGAAACATGAAAAGTTACTTAGAGTCTGAGCTTTGCGGGGCCTTTAATTAAAAGCGACAGGTTTCCGAGACATTTTACTTTGATATACAGCACCGCCACAGATACAGATACAGATGCAGATGCAGACACAGATACATATGTATGTACGTTCCGTTGTTGTTTGCATTGGATGTTGCAGTTGAAGTTGCAGTTGCAGTTATTGTAATTACATATGGCGATGTCCAGAGCCGCACCCATATCGAAGACCGACCGCTGACCCACATTTCGAGAGCAACCCAGCCAACCAGCCACCAGCCACCAGCCAGCCACAGCTTTTGGACTTTGAAGATGCAAATGGAACCGCATCGCATCGCCCGTGCATCGTCTGTGCATCGCTCAGCATCGGTTTTTGCCCCACGATCGCTTTGGAGACGGAGGCGACGTTGGCGCCAAATTTATGTAATCAAAACCAACCCAAATGGATGCGATGCGATGCCATGGCATTCAATAAAATTGCCAGCTTCGCTTTGGCTTTGGCTTTGGCTCTGATGATGTCAGCATCATCATCATCATCGGGTGGTGGTGGTGGTGGTGTGGTTCAGACGGGAGACAGCAACCCAAAACCTAGGCAAAAAGGTTATCAATATCTCAAGATCTTTTGTAAAAGTTGGCAAATTTCACTCGTAATGCAATCGCACGCAATGTCCTCATCCGCCTTCGCCTTCGCCTCCGCCTCCACAGAGGAGCCTCAAAGAGCCTGAGAGGCCTGAGAGCCAAGGGAAAGCCAGGGAAGAGCTGCGACTAGAAATGATTTCCAATCTCTTTCATTTCTTTTAATTATAGATATGTGTGTGTGTGTGTGTGTGTGTGTGTGTGTGTGCGACTGAAACATAAATCATATTGACACTTGGACTTAATTAAAAAACAACCTACGAACCGCAGTTCTAGTTGGGCTGCCAACGAAACTGAATTTTTGTAGAAAAATCATAAATCAATGCAGCAGCATCAGCAGCAGCAGCAGCGCGAAAGGCAACTAATAAAATTCAATTTGTAATCAGAACCTCTCTGCAACGCCCTTACGAAATGGTCAAGAGGCAGAGGAGATGGCCGACAACACATTGAGACGACGAAGACCCGTCCGACTCTTCAATCAGCCACAAAATACCGCAAGAGTTAGGAAGAGAGAACCGACCAACACCAACACCAACACCAACACTAGCACCAACAGAAATGATGTTGTTGGTGCCGGAGAGGGGCGGTCATGGGTCTGACTTCTAAGAATGCAGCTGTTCCTCAGAGCGAGGCCCGGCTCTTGAGCCCATAAAAATGAATATGCCAGGCGGCTGTCAGAGCGGCCGGTGCCAGTGCCAGCACCCAGTGCCGCCTGCTCCTCAGACAACGGCTACTCAACGGAATCTCAGGCTCAACAACATCGCGATCGCGACCGGGACAGGGACCGGGACAGGCACCGGGACCGGGACCGGGACCGGGTTGAGTGTTGGCTTTGGAGTTTTGGAGTGACGTTTTGGGTTTGGCATCGAGAGAAGAACAAAGTCAGCGCCGAAGTGCCCCATGGGCCTAGAGAGGGTCTCTCGGTCTCCCATCGCACAACCAATTCCGAGCGTGAGAGCCGAGAAACACACACCAAAAGAGTCTCTCGTGATTTGTCGTTCGTATCTCATATGTATGATTATGGGGTGGATATACCATACGTAATAATAACGATCGTTCTGGTTGGACTTCCGACACAGAACTAAACATTGAAAGGAATCAAAAGGAGAGATTTCCTTTAAAACTTGCAATTATATTGGAATAATAATTGAACAGACACCCCATTAGGCCAGTTTTCACTTACCCATCCACAAGCCAATGTGGAATTTGACCAAATGTAGGATCTTTGTACTTCTTAGGTCCATTTAAATTAATTGAATCGTTATTTTTGACACATGGACACATAGCTTATAGGATTTTAAGCAGTATTTAGAGGACCGACATGATGGGATTCCTTAAAGAGGAATATTAGAGCATGTCCAGCATCCAAGATCGCTACAGATGGATAGATTTATCTTTTATTCCTTAAAAACCTATGTATACAATGTAGAATATGAACTTTTCAGCTACAAATTACTAATCGAAATGAGAAATTCCCATGAGATGTGCCATAGCCCA